TAGTTTAGTGTTACTTGCGAGTACCTGTTGCTTTTGGTACTCACCCTTGCTTCTACACAGTTGTGTAGGTTGACAGCTCTATCAGATCCGGCTTATTACTCATCTTCAGATTAGAGCTTCCAGACTTACTTGAGAGGTATACATTTTTTATCGATTTTCATTTTGATCATTTTTTTTTTTTTGCACACATCATTTTAGATTCTTGACTACTCATAATTGTGACCGTATAAGCTTCTACCTTGGGAATTGAACATAACTTTGAGAGAATCAAGTAGAAGTTCATTTACGCCGGAAGGAAAAAATATCAATGAATTCTAAATTAACTAGTTGATTTTTGAGTCTATCGTTTGTTTTATTAGAAACTCTATTTTGTATATTATACGATTAATACTAATCATGCGAGATTTTTTTTAATCGCACAAATCTTATACTTTTGAACGGTTAAATTTTTAATATTGGTACTTATGAGATAAAGAAAAGTCAGTCATGTATAATACGGAAAATAAAGTTTTTTCGCTTTGTAAATATAAGATGATGATACGTAACATAGAATATATCGCATCAGACGACATGCAGCACAAGCTAGTGGTGAGAAATGTTTGAATATCTAATTTGGCTTCTTTAATTGGATATTCGCATATCTACTCTTGGATTTATTTAACTACTCCATTTCTTTAATATTTTCTAAAAAGTATTGTGGTTACCATACCATCATTACTAATATTGTAATAACCAATAGGGGTGTACAAAATCGAATCAAACTTTAAACTGAGTCAAATCGAAAAAAAAAACTCGACTAGTGGTTGATTTGACTTGGTTTGATGTTGAAAAAAAATCCGACAATATTTGGGTTGGCTTGGTTTTAACTAAAAAAAACCAACCCGAGACCAAACCAACCCGACATTGTATATATAATTTTAAAATTTTATTTTATACATAAAAATATTTACTTTGATATAATTTTTAAATATTTCTTATAATTTTTCATAGTTTTTATCTTTTAATATAGGGAAAATGCATAAGTACCCCCCAGTATATGCCCAAAATCCCTGAGACATACCTAACCTTTACTAAGGTCTTATTACTCCCCCGAACTTATTTTATGGATAATTTTCTACCCCATTTCGGCCTACGTGGCACTATATTGTGGGCCCAGCGCGTGTTGACAATTGTTTCAAGGATAGTGCCACGTAGACCGAAAAGGGGTAGAAAATTATACATAAAATAAGTTCGGGGGAGTAATAAGACCTTAGTAAAGGTTAGGTATGTCTCAGGGATTTTGGGCATATACTGGGGGGTACTTATGCATTTTCCCTTTAATATATTATTTCAAGTTTGAAACTTAGAATTTTGAATGGTTCCATAAAGATTATAGTGGTAATTATAATAAAACTTAAATCAAAATCAAATTAATACTAATGCAAAAAGAAAATCAATTTAACACTAAGAATGACAATACTATTGAATATTTGTTCTTTGGTTTTACATTGGTTTAGACAATTAAAGTACATAATCTAAATTTAATTTCCTTTAATATTTAGTCATGTAACTAATACTTATTATACTTGTTTAGCATGATTTAGTACTTTTAAATTATGATCATTTTCATTATGACTTGTTAATTTGTAATATTTGTTTTACGCAATTTCATTATTATTATTATTATTATTATGGATATTTTAGCGTCATTAATAATATCATTGTTTGTGTTGTATTCTTAAAAAACACCTTAGATAGTTGTATTTTGGTAGGACAGTAGGACTGAAGAATTATTTGAAGTACAAGTTAATTATATGTTTGTATGAATAATTTAGCGGAAAACCCGAAAACCCAATATACATGATCCCATTAATATTATAAATTAATATTTCTTTAAAAGTACAAATATATCTAAGACAATTTAGTAAAATGTGATTCTATTGTGTTTTATTTTTTGTTAAACTTTAAAACTAGTTGAAGTTCATCTCTAACTTTTCTTATTGCATCCAACAGTTCCGGTGTTCAGGGGCGGCTCAACGTACTTGGAGGCCTAAAGCGAAATTTCAATTAAAGGCCTAAAATCTTTTAGCTAGCAATTATTATATAACTTGTTAACATTATTCTATAAGTAATAAGTTGACAAAACAGCTTATAAGCTTCTTCTTTTTCTTTTTTTTTTTGATTTAAAAACACATAAAATAAGTCAATCTAAACAGGCTTGTAATTCACTTTATCCAAAACATGATTTTTACTATTTATTCATATTTTTTATAGAGCTCTAACTTACCTATAGTATAAAAGGAGTCTAGAAAATTACAGTGCGAGAGTTAGTGAAGAGAATGTAAGAAGACGAAACAAATTTTTCTCGACTTCTTCTATTTATTGAGGTTAAGGTGAATAAAATAATATATATATTTTTTAAGAAAAATATATTTATCTTAGATAATTATTTTTTTCTATAAAAAAAATTAACACATAATTTATTGTGGTAAAAATTAGAGGCCCCCTAAAATTGGGGGCCTAAGGCATATGCCTAATTTTTATAAGCATTGAGCCGGCACTGCATATACACCCCTAATAACCAACATATATAGTACTGTACGTTGTAATATAATTCTAAGTAGGCGATGACAATGTTTGATTAAAGTCGAAAAAAGAATATCTTAAAGTAATTTTAAAAAGTCGTTTAGAGCTGAAGTACGAAATTATATTGTATTTATTTAGGCATACATTTATATAATGACGTAGCGAGAAATTTGACGAAGAATATTTAAATTTGGATAGTAAATTAAAAAATTAAATCAACTCTATAGGGGTATGATCTTGCATGCTCTGCATAGTTCTGCATATCCACTTCCCACTGAGCTAATGCGCACTTCACATTAAAGTTGTGCGCCTTTTAATATTTTATAGATTCAGTATAAAGGATGCCATTTAAGTCCCCTTGAATATAGCAAGACTTGTTTATAACCTTGTTTGAGCTTTCTAGACTGAACCACAACTCTTCTGTCAATTTTTTTTGAGCATTTTGCATATACAACAGTAACAAAAGAGCTACCACTATTCTAATTCTTCTTGATCTTCATTGTAATGTGTTGTTCATGACCTTGAATAGTGGAAATAATACATTTATCCCCCTAAAAATACCACTATAGCCATTGGATCTAATGTCGTTATAGGCTTTAGAGACATTTTTAAAGAGCGTTAATTGCCCCTAAAAATTATATTTAGAGTAATTAAGTTATTGTCGCTAAAGATTAATTTTGATGCAGTGGTATATATCTAATGCTGTTTTCAGCTGATTTCATTTCTACCCAACCATTTTAAAGTATTCTTTGACAGCAGTTCCTATCACACTACAAAAAGAAAATCCAAAAATCATTAATTTCCATGGCTGCCATTTGTGAATATAGTTTTCATCATTTTTAAAATTTATTTTTAACACCTTGCATAGCCACAAAAGATATTAGAAAATGGAAGCAGACAGAGACTAGGTAAGAGTGTTAATGGTACAGTTCGGTCGGTTATTTTTAAAAAATTATATATTCTATTTTTTCGGTTATTTTATAATATATAACCAAGATTAGATTTTTTAGTACCATCTCAATCATATTGGTTTCTCTTCGGTATCGGTACGGTTCGGTTAATTTTCATTTTTTTTTACTTTTAAAATATCACCTCAAAATATACTACTATTAAAATATTTCTTTTGAAATATGTTCTTGAAAAGAAGCACTTTAATTCTTCATCAAGCGAGAGAAAAGTGCATATACAAATACAAATACAAATATATATATATTTTCGTTTATTGAAAAAAAAACATAAATCGATTCGATTCAATTAGATTCGGTCGATTTTTCATATTCTTTTGACACTCCTAAGACTAGGTACTATTTTGCAGCAACAAACCAAGTGTAAACAAACTAAGGAGAGTTGATGAGTAACACTAGGTGTGTTTTAGAGATATTAAAATAAATTGAAATAAAAATTGGGTTGGGTCCTAATCCGCCCAAGTTTACATTGGGTTCAAATGGCTTAAAAGCAGGTTGAGTCTTGATCCGCCCAATTTGACCCGATTAATCTCAATAATTTTAATATATTGTTATTTAAGTTTTATAACCACAATTTGACCTTTAACTCAAGAAAATTTTAAAAAAGAAGTTACAAATTGATAGATAAATCCCAAAAGATATAAAATAAATAGTAATCTATACCTTCAATATAAGAAAATACATTACACCAATGCAAATAAAGAGTTAGGTTGAAATTAGAGATTATATTGGGCTCAATTGAAGATTCTTTTAATGGAAAATTATATGAAATAACAAACTATTAATTCAAATTAAATGTTATAGCCATAGTTTATTTTATTTGTAATTCACAGCAAACATCCCATTTTTTTGTCATCTGGTTCGGTATACAATTATAACCATTTTCAGTATACAATTACCCATTTGGTATAAAAATGTATAAAATGCGTTTGTGTTTGTATAAAGTGAGAGAAAAAGTGTATATACAAATACAAATACAAATACAAATACATATATTTTCGTTCTATACACTTATAATTATACAAATACAAATCTTATTATACAAATTACAACGTATAAATGAATTTACACAAAACTGAACAGTTTGTATAAAATTAAATGTATCTAGCGAATTATACAAATCAAAAGCTCCATAGCAAACATAAAATTTGCTATGAAGCGCAATTATGCAAACTATAGCTATAACATACAAATATGATTTTTAAGCACCACCCTAGCCGCAATTTAATTTGTACTTCAATCATAATTAATATGGTTTCATTTTCAATAGTTAATTAAAAACCTGTAGTAGATGATTTTAACGCATAAAGATGAAGTTGCCAATTTTGATTCAACAATCTACAACAGCAACTAACCAAAATTCCTGAAAAGATATATTAATGAATACGACATTAGCAGATCTAGAAAACAAACTCAATACGTACGAAAGACCAACCAATATTTCCATAAAATAAAGAAGATCAATGAATATCGAAAAATGCGGTTTTTTCATCATCAAGACTTAGGTATTAATACTACAAAACATCGAAAAAAGGCTACAATAATAATATTTACAGTACAATTTTTCATTATGCGTTATTGCTTTCTCTACTAAGCTAAGTTTTTTCAACTACCAAGCACTAACTGCTTAATTCCCTCTGTCCGTCCCACAATCTAACTATGTTGCCGTTAATTACCTTCATATCCTGGTAACAATACCATCCCATTTCCCCTTTTCTCAATTTCTCCCAATTATTCTCAAACCACTCTACGCCGTTGTGGTCGTCGTCTTCTCCTTCCTCATCATCATCATCGCCGGCGTTACATTGATCTCCATCCTTAAAATACACCGTCAGTTTCCCTTTTGTTCCTTCCGAAAAAGCATCATCGGACAACATCATCATATTATTATTATTATTACTAGGTGGCGTTCTCTCTTTTGATGATAGTAGCATTAATTCTACCTGCGATGAAGATGAAGATGAAGCTAATACTGTTACCAACGCTGGCTCTGGAGGTGTGGGCAACCACGTTGAAGAAGATGCTTTCATCTTCCAGAAACTAACCGCAGCTGTAACAACAGCAACCCATGTCCAAACAATGTTGGCGACATCGAAGCTCCAGTAATTGAAAGCAACAGCTTCAACTATTGCATTCATCGATCTTTAATTCTAATTTTCTCAATTCAAAATGTGTACCGTATATATAAAGGAGTAGGATGGTAAATGTGAGCCATACGATGAGAGAGAATTGTGAGAAGCATCTGAGATTAGATGCTGGGAATCGTCAAGGAAGATGCTAAGGTACATCCATATATTCCAATCATATTTGGTAGCTACCACAAGTGGGAATTAATATATATCTACACGTGCAAACACACAAGTGATGATTAATTTTCTCTTTATTTATTTTTATCATCTCTTTGCTTTAATCATTTGTCGTAATTTATGTACACATTAATTATTCTAAAAATATGTATTCATTTGATTTGTATGTTAGTTAACTGTATTTATTCATTCATTTTAGTATTTACGTTTAGTCATTGTCATTATAATGAAATAACACATTAATAAAGTTGTATATGAAATGATTTTTTTGGCTCATAAATAAAAATACTCCATAAGCAAACAAAAACTCTTGAATAGGTAATTATGTATTGTTAATTTAATAATAGGAAATTGAGAGTTTGAGGGTAGTAATTAAAGGACAGTCAGTTACAATAATAGAAATCACCTTATTTATGCTGATAATGGAGAAAGTGGGAGAGAGGGGCAACATATATAGGGAGAAAAAATGATGATGCTTACGGTTTACGGGGAAATAAATTAGCGTAGTCTGAATAGAAATAAGACTCTCTCATAGATCTGAGCGAATCAGATGTTTTCAAACCCGTTAAGTGATTTTTTTAATAAAAAAAACGCACTTAATGACCCCATGTATGAATCATTTAGATTCAGACCTACATTAAGTGCAAACAAATGATGCCTAAGACTGTCACGACCCAGACCGTCGTGATTGACACCCACACAAACCCTCCGGTGGGAGAACCATTACTACAACCCAAACAAACAAATTTATGAAAATTAAGACATTTAAAAATACGGAAGCAGGTTTAAATGACAATAAAAATGGAGTCTCCATAAACTCCAAAGGTTTAAACAATTAACTAACCAACTAATGCGAAAATTCAACCCTAGAACCTAAAAGTCATTGTACCAAAATTCTACTAACGACAAGTCTAAGAACAAGGGGTACAACCCCGAAACTAAACAAACACCTTAAACAAATAGTCTGAGTCCGAAAAGAATGGACTTAAACAAGAGAGATCCATGGTTGCCTGAAAGAACTGGCTCACCCTTGAACCCGGTCACGATCAATAGTCACTTAGCTGAGGTCTATCAATAGCCGCCTGAAGATGCCCTGTACTCAACAAAGAACAAGCAAATGCAGTATCAGTACACAACCACAGTGTACTGGTAGGATCACGCGGCTATCCCAATAAGTGAAACACATGTAAGTAACCACAACATTATAAAACAGGCATATACCGAGCATATACAATATTAGTCATCATTTCAGGATCAATGTAGCATCACACATTCTCAGTAATACACATTGGTTATCATTTAGAGCAACATACATTCTTCCAATATCAATCATCATTAGATATGAACGTAATCATCACAAGTAGATACACAACACAATTCAATGGTCCTCTCACGGAATCCAATTCAATGGTACTCTCATGGAACCTACACCCAAATTGTTAGCATGCTGGAACGTGGTACCCGATCTAATGTTTATGCCGGAACGTGGCAACCGATCCATTCAACACACCACAATCACAATCACAAGTATATCCTCAAGATCATACATTTAAGTCATGATTTCATGGTAACCATCATTCATCTATCTCATTTACAACAAGTGTGATCAATAATGCAACATTCATATACATACATGTATCATAATGAAGCAAGAACAAACATACATCACACAATCATAGAATCACAACCATCACCTACCTCGAAACAAGCTTGAAACCCTAAGAAACTTGATCCTTCCCTTTCC